CCCCCCCCCCCATAGCTTTAATAAGGGAACTAAGCGAGATCATGCAATCTAATCACCTGGGGTTAAAGCCTGAGGCAGACTAGGGAGGCAATAGGTGTGGGCTGCTATTAATCAATATTAGTATAATGTTTTCTTAACAGTTATAATAACGAAAGCAGAGAATCTGGAGTATCATGAAAGGAGAGAGAGGACAGTGTGCCTTGGTGGGGAAAGGGAAAACGTGCCATTTTCATGCTTCTCCAGAGCGTCTCGTGCCCGGGGCCACATCCCTGGGGCCGCATTCTCGGGGATGCCCTGGTGGCCCTGTTCCCCAGCCTTCCCTCAGCATCTCTGGCCAGACTCCTGGTCTTCCACGCTCTAGCCCAGGAGCTTGGGACCTGAGTGGGGGAGGCTTTAGACCTCAGGGTGGGGACGGGTGGAGGTGAGCACACATGTTGGGGTGTGACTTGAAAATCAACATGACTGCCCCTACCTTAGAGCTTTTCTGTGTGTGTATGCCGGACCCCTACCCATATCAGAATCAGCCCATTCTGAACCCTTCCCACCCAACCAGCATCCCCGGGGTGGGGCACAGGAATCCGCATTTTAAACACCCCCATCAAACTCTGTGTCTACAATACAGAATTCTTTAGGAAACATTGATTTAGTTAACCGCCCCCCCTCTGTGGGCCTATGAGAAATGGAGACTCAGGAGCAGGGGACATGGGCCAGGTGACACGTGGCTCTTGGGGCAGAATCCCCAGTTCCCCTGAGGGATGCTTGCCTCCTTGCTCCTGGAACATTCTGGATGACTTCCAGCTCACTGCTGTCCTTCTAACCTTCACCCAAATCTTTGACTCATGGAGCTGCCCCCTCCTTCCATTGTAGACGTTCCTGGTCTGCCGGGACAGCAGCTTGAAGCACCTGGTGCTCTGTGTCCACTTCCCTTCCCTGAACGACAGCTCGTCCGAGGTGCTCGAATACACCATTAAAGAAGAAAAATCGAGTAAGTACCTTCCTGTGCTGGCCCCTGACCACACAGCAGCAGAAGATGCTACACCACACTACCACAGACACTCCCATCTGGTCAGAAGGGTTTAAAATAGGAAGGCTGGGAGGACTTTCAGCCCCCCAGAGTTATCTGGCCGGGTTTGTTGTGAACTCAGTTTATCACTCACAGTCGATGTATTTCCGCTCACCCCTATCACAGCCTGTCGGCTTTGCTTCCTCTTGGCCGCCATGAAGCTTCTTCTGGTTAGCTCAGGCTGGAGAAACTGAATAAAAGGAGAGGAGCTGTCTGGATCCCTGGTCCCAGTGATAGCTCGGCACACACCCCAACCTTGATCTTGGACAAGTCACTTAACCTCCCTGAGCCCATTTTCTCGTCTGTCAGATGCACATAACAGTCACTGTCCTGCCTGAGTCACAGGGCCTTTGTGAGGGTCAAATGGGCAGGCAGTTTGGAAGACGGAAATCCTGTGTGTGCACAGGGCTGTGGGGAGCAGGCCTGGGGCCCGTGGGAAAATGTTTTGGGGCCTCTGATCAAGGGCGGTTTGTACTGATACACAGTGAAAGGGTCCGGGCCTCTCGCAGACCATGCCAGGTAGTAAGAGCCAAAAAGCCTAGAAGTTAGAAAAATCTATAGAATATTCCAGGCATCCAGCTTAGGTCCTCTTAAAAATCCGGGGGGTGTGGAAAGCTTTTTACCCTTAGTTAGAAACAGAGTGAAAAGAGTTAAAGAAGACAATAAAATATGTATGAAGTATATTTCGTAAATATATATTTATATAACATGTAAATATAATAAATATTCTGAGGTATTTATTAAATATTCTGGAGTAGTTCTCAGGAAACACTTGTTGTGCCCAACACTGAGCAGATACACAGATGAATAGGCTCTTGGCCTCAAGGGTCTCCCAGTCTAGTTGGGGGTGGGGGGGGGGCTTGGTGGGGGTGGGAGGGACACAGACACACACTTGCTGTGCAGTGTGACAGGGGTGACTGCAGAAGGTGGGAAGGATTTCAGGAGAGCAGGAACAAGGAGAGAACACAGGCTGGGTCCCAAAGGGGAGACCAGTGGGTATCCATGCGCTTAGAAGCTAATCTAGCTCCAGAGGTGGATGTGGATGAGAAAGCAGAAGCGGGTTGCTCAAGGGGGCCTTTCCACAGAGACCCTGACTCACTGTATGTTCAGCACATGGTTATTGAGTATCTCCCCTGTGTCAGGAGCTGTTCTACCACTGGGACCACAACATGGGACAAAACACAGCCTCAGCCTCTCGGGGCTGATGTTCGGGTGAAGGGAGGAGACGGTAAACAAGTAACAATACAGGGTGACCTTGAGCTGAAGAGTCCCTGCTGTGTAGAATGTGGAAATGGGAAGATCAGCCAGCTGCCTCAATATCAACAAAAAGTGTAAGGGCTTAAGCCCAGAAGAGGCTGGTGTCTGCTCCTGTGCAAGATTCCTCAGCAGCAGCGGGGAAGGCTCTTTGGGGGGCGGGGGGCTCTGCAGCAGGAGCAGGCAGCCTCCCAGTTCAGAGTCTTGTGCAGGAATGCATTCCATTGGCTAGAGTGCGGTCATATGACCACACCCAACTGCAAGGGAGACTGGGAAATGTGGTCCTGGCTTGTGCCCAGGCAGAAGCAGAGGACTTGGATTTTGGTGAAAGGCTGAGAGTCTGTGAGGGGGTAGAGTATGTGGGATTGTTACTTTAGATGGCAAACCAGTGACCTCTGTCCTGCAGTGTCCAGCAAGGAAGAAAGTGTAGGGATCTCAAAGAGGAAGGAGGGTCATAGTTTTCCCAAGCCAGGGTATACAGCGCCTTCTAATGACTGCAGAAGGGGGAGGTTGTTCGGGGCTCCTCCTGTTCTCCAAGAACCCGGGCCCTTTCATGGATGTTCTCAGCAGGTGCCTGGGGGTGCACAGACCCCGGGTGCGTGTTTGACCATCAGCCGAGTTCAAAGACTCGCCTGCCCAGGCACTAGTTACCTGCAGTCCTTTAGAAACCTGATAGCCAGTTGTGCTCTTGAATTTCAACACCAGCATGGAGAAAGTAGCTGAAGGTGGGCAGTAGCGATGTGCTGAGCATGTTACCCATCCACACGTGCTCTAGAAGTGCAAGGAGGGAGCTTTGCTCAAGGGCAGGCTGATAAGGAAGGCTTCTCAGAGGAGAGGGGAACCGGGCTGGACTGACAGACTGGAAGATCTGCTTTTCTCCTTTGCCCCTCGCTTCCTTCCCACTTCCCCGCCCTAGCTCCAGGGTAATCACTTCTAAGTCTTTCCAACCCAGTTACACTTCCTGGCCTTTGGGGACTTGGTCAGAAAGCATGCACAAGTCCTACCCAATGGAACCAGGATGTCATGTCTGGCTGCAAATGTCTCATTTCCAATCGGGAGCCCAAGCCACAAACCAAGGCACTTAGCTCCCTTTTCCAGATTCATATCTTCCTCCCAGGACCGTGTGGTAGAATCTCACTTCCCACTCTGAAACACTCAGTGCTCAACTTTGCCGAAAAGACCATCAAAACCCAAACCCCAAATCCTTCCTGTGACATAACTCTTCCAATCATGATTTGTGTCCATTCACTGTGACCACACAGATGTCATCTATAAGTTTGCATGTGTTTTTCTTTGGCTCTTTCTGTATAGTACTCTGGCGCTCCCCCAAACCTCACACTCCTGAACCCAGACAACATCAAGAATGTACCAGGTGATGTGTTTCTGTGCTTCCTTGATTCACCGTTCTGATCTTTTTGGTCTCTTTGCTCATTCAGTACCTGTCTCCTTAACATGGTGATCGAGCACAGACTACAGAAGCCACCGCCTGTGTTTGAATCCCAGTTGTGTCTTTCACTACCTGTGTGACCTCTCCAGGCCTTACTTAGCCTCTCCAGGCTTCTACGATGGGAAGGATAATGGTGTCTCCCTCATAGGGGTGCTTGCAGGAATTAGTGTGTCTAAATTACTTAGGACAGAGGCACCTGGGTGGCTTAGTCAGTTAAGCATCCGACTCTTGGTATCCGTTCAGGTCATGATCTCATGATTAGTGGGATCGAGCCCTGAGTCAGGCTCTGTGCTGACAGCGTGGACCCTGCTTGGGATTCTCTCTCTCCAAATAAATAAACACACTTTAAAAATAAATAAATAAATAACTTAGGATAGTACCGAGAGCACAATAGAAGATTAGAATCATATTTGTTGGGCCTTATTATCATTATTATTATTACTAATTCTCCTGCAAGATTAAGCTAAAAGGAAGAGTGGAATGAGCCTACACAGAGGTTTCCAGGCTCTGGGTAAATCCCATCCAACGTGTGCGCCCGCCTCGTAGTCCCTCGTGGGAGGAGGGAGCCACCAAGCTTTTGAGTACCCCTGTGGCCGTGGTGGCCGCAGCGGGGGACAGCCTGAGGAGGAAGTGGGCAAGGGGAAGGCCCAGGCCTGGGTCTGGGGCCTTTTGTTGGGATTTCCCACGCAACTCAGGCAAAGGAGGGAGACGAGGGGATCCCCCGAACACAGGAGGTCAGCCTCACCCGTGGCCCCACGAGGAAGGCTCACTTGGACCACCTCTGTGGTTCTGTGTGCTTGGATCCCCCTCTCCTTCCTTGTTAAGAGTTTCTTTGCAGGGCGCCTGGGTGTCTCAGTCGGTTGGGCGGCCGACGTCGGCTCAGGTCATGGTCTCGCGGTCCGTGGGTTCGAGCCCCGCGTCGGGCTCTGTGCTGGCACCTCGGAGCCTGGGGTCTGCTTCAGATTCTGAGTCTCCCTCTCTCTCTGCCCCTCCCCCACTCATGCTCTGTCTCTCTCTGCCTTTCAAAAATGAATAAATGCTTAAAATTAAAAAAAAAAAAAAAAAGAGGTTCTTTGCAAAACGCTGACCTAGTCGCTCAGGCTAGTGATGCTGTGGGGACGAACAGCCCTGAGCAACAGCGGCTGCTGTCTGCGCTCTACGCAGGGAGGGGCGGTGACCACTCCGAGCAGGCATCACCATCTCCTGCACCCCCAGTCTACCTCTGTTCCGCTCCGAGGTGAAAAGAAGGCTTTGCCGTGTCTGGGTAGCTAAGCTACCACTTAGCTTCACAGGGACCCTCAGAGGCCAGCTGTGTGTGCGTGGCAGGTGGGGGCAGAGAACCAGCAGAAGAAGGCACTAGGGCCGGGGACGCAGGGAACACAGGAGCAGGCTACAGGATAGACGGAGGCTAGGCCAGCTGAAATGGCTGAAATTAATGAAAAGCTAGCCCCTTTTCATTCATCCGCACCCTTGAAGATGGTGACACTGACACATTCATGTGATGACATTTTTTTCTGCTGGCTGCCAAACAAAAACAAAAACAAAAGAAGGAGAAGGAAGAAAAAGAAAATGAGTTGGCCCTGTCTCCAGAAGAGGAACCATCAGACAGGGACGGATGATGTGGTCTGGCCCCTACAGAAAGCCACTGCCTGGCACTCAGTCTGAGCCACAGGCCCCGTTTCGGGGGCAGCCCCACGGTACTCCCTGCATATTCCCTGCTACCCAGGCTGACCCCCTGGCTTTAGAAAAGCTGGCGTGTTGAGCTCAGGCAGGGTTTCTTCTACCCTGAACAGATCTCCCACTCTGAGGTCTGTGGTTTGGGGCCAAGTAGTTGAAGCTGATAGATCCACCTGTGCTTAGGAACGAAGCCCACCTCACTGGGAAATTTGGTGAATGTCGTGCTGATTGGCACTGATGTGTTATCGCCACTGGACTGGGGGAACCTTTAAACCAAGGAAGAGAGAAATTCTAGATAAGTGTTCCTGGGCAGTAGAGATCTGTATGTATGGGCAGGTCAGAGCGTCATCCAGATGGCCCTGTGTGGACCAGAATGCCTTTGAGGTCCACACAGGAGATTTGCACTGCTGCTCTTGGGTTTGAGCCCTTCACCAACTGGCCCACCATCCTAGAATGAGATTTAACCCATATTTGGACCACAGCGTATTAAGTCCATAAAAAGGGAAGGAACGATCATCGTTAACGTCGGGGTTGGGAAGGACAA